GCGCCGGGCGGCGGGGGCGCCGCGAGGTATCCCCTCACGGCGAGCTCAAACCCCATGGCTGCGCCGTCGTTGCGCGCGTCGCGCCCGGCGGCCGCGGCGGCGGCGGCGGCGGGCGCCGCGGCGCCGCGGGCCAGGTCGAGCGGGCAGAGCAGCGCCAGCAGCGCGACCCGGTCCTCCTCGCCGGCCGCAGCCATGACCATCTCGAGCATCTGCCCCCAGACTTTCCACGACACCACGCCGATGAGCCACGCCAGCGCCGCCCCCGGCCGCAGCGCGCCGCCCTCGGCCGCCGCCGGCAGGCAGCCCCGCGCCGCGGCTTTACGGAGCTCGTCGGCCGCGACGCAGTACCTGACATAACGTGGCTCCTGCTGGGCGGCGTCGAGGTCAGGCAGCGCGAGGCCGCCTTCCATGAGGCCCGGCAGCGCGCGCTCAAAGGCCTGAATGCGCGCCGCGTCCGCGTCTGAATTCATGAATCTCCGTTGCAGATACTCGAGCGCGCACGCCAGGTTAGCATCGAGCTCCCAGGGCCCGAGGCCTGCCATCTGATGCAGAATAAAGCCCAACTCTGTGCGGACCACCCAGTCCTTCGTGAACCAGCCGCCGTCGGCGCCGCTGTCTGGGCGGCCGGCGCCCTCGGCGGCTGGCGCAGCTCGCGGGGCGGCGGCTGGCGCGGCCTCGGGCTCCAGGGCCGCGTCGCCGTCGAGCGGCTGGCCGGCGGCTGACCGTCCATGGGCGCAGGGCGCGGCCGCCTCCGAAGACTGCCGCCCCTCCTCCTCCTGCCGCTGCTTCTGCCCCTGCAGCTCCTGCTCCTCCTGCTCCACCTGCTCCTGCTCCCGCTCCTGCTGCTCCTGCTGCTCCTCCTGCTCCTCCTGCTCCAGGATTGAGGCAATAGCAGCGAGATCTGCAGCAGCCTGCGGCGGCGCAGCCTCGGCGCTCCGCTGGACGCCAGCCGCCCCCCCGCCAGCCGGCGCCGCCGGCGCGCTCGCGGCGGCCGACGCTGCAGCTGCAGCGGCCTGCGGCGGCGGCGGCGGCGATGGCAGCGGCTCGCTGGCCTCAAACTTGACCTCGATTCGGGTGCCCTCCTCGCACGCACCCCGATCCTTTGCTGCCGCCGCGATCACATCATCCTCGGCCGCTGCGTTGCCTGTTTCCTCGGAATCCTCAACGAGGACGGCGACCTCCTCGCCGAGGGACGCCCCCTGCTGGTGGGGCGCGGCGGCCGCCCAGGGGTAGGTGAGCCCGTCCTCTGACAGCGCCTGGCCCGGGGCCGCCGCCTGCCCTGCGCCGCCGGCGGGGTCCAGGCCGGTGGGGGCGGCGGGCGCGTCTGCGGCGG